GACAGACTGAAAGTTTCGGCTGCTGAGCTACCCTGTGACCCACTCATGTCTGCTCCTCTTCCAATAGACAAAAGGCAAGGTGCATTTCAAGGAAAGACAGCACTGATTAAGAGTGGAATGTGACTTTTTTCCTTTCAATGCATTCCTTCTTTTTCAAAAAGCAAGGTACATGTCTAAGGCTATCTGAAATTTAACATGGTAAATGAGGTGTCACTACTGTCCCCATTTTCCAAGGAGTCACAAGGAACTCAAGAGGATTGGCATGGTTTTTAATTAGTCATAATAATGGCTCTGCTTCTTTGTTACCTGTCTCAGAATATGTTATAAGGTAAGCTTCTGTAAAAGGAAAGTTTAAAAGTGATTAATGTTAAAGTATGTATATCCTATTGTGAAGCAAATGGCAGAATTTCAGTATGTTATGTAATATATGCCGCCAATGTCTTTTCTTTATTCTCTATAAAACACCCATTATCTGTAAATAAAGTGCAGACAGTGAGTAGTGAAGCATGCTAATGAAAACATCCTTAAATGGTGTTGTGCTCTGGAGTGGAGTCCATCAGACTACTGCTGGAACACTGGGACCATTTGGGAAAGCTCAGAGAACACATTTACAAAAATACCAAATCCACATTAAGTGGAATTTAAGGGTACTTTGTTTTGACTACTGAAAAAGAAACAATGATACACACAGGGAACAAGCTGGTTAATGTACTGTACATTATTACTATAAAGTACTAGACCTCAGTCTCTTGGCTGTTCAGAAACTACATATTCAGTTGATTACATGGTGCCCTTAAGAGTAGATTTTAGGAGTAAATGAACAAACCTCTCAGATATCCTTTCAAAGCTGGCTAATTTACTTGGCTTTTGGATTCTTGCCTTTGCTCATGGAGGAGGGCTTTCTGATGGTTTCTGCCTTGCAAGAGATTCTATGCCTGCCTCAGATCTCTCAGCAAAACAATAAATAAACAAGTCCAACTCTTGGCACAAAATAAATTTTCTAAGTTCAGAAAGGTATTCTATTTAAACCTAAAGTTCTGTAGTTAATACAACTCTCACGATATTTAACTCAGATTAATTTGAAGACAATTACCATGAACTTGTTCTCTCCTACTCTAGATTGAATTTAAGGGCTTTCAAGAACGTTCAGATAAGCTTAACCTGGTTGTGCAGAAAAGTCTATAAGCTACTGAAATTCTCGCACACTTAATGCTCAAATTTGCTTGTGGACTTAAAGTATCTGCCATTGCAGTGATGGGAGAAATACTACCCATGTTGCCATAAGACACTAGGCAGAACCACAGCTCACTTACTGTTGACTTTGATGCCAGGTAGTAATTTGGCAAATGTAAAGAGTAAGTTAGATTTTTCAATGAATGTGTGGGACATATGTTCCATAATTAGTGCATGTTACTGTCATTTGGAAGCTGCTAAAATTTGTGTGATGCTTTCAAGCTATGCTACTCCACCTATTACAGCAAAAACGAAGTGTACTACATCTCTCTTAGGAAGGCTCTTCACCGCAGTTGTATCCTGCCAAAATGTCAGAGCAAAGCCTTGGCTCAATTTCTCCACTTTCACAGAGTTCTGATGACCCATGACACCAACCATGTATCTCTACTTATCTGACACATTGTAAAATTATTTTCAAATTGATAAAATAGAACTTGCTGACAAACAGTTTTTGTCTGGTTGTATACTGATTTATAGAAAGATCTAATTAATAAGATTTTTTTTAAATCTGGATATTTGGATTGAGGCAGGATGTGACCTAACTTTATATTTAATATCTAGTAATTTGGAACTGTTAGTTTACTCTCTATTCTTGCACTTCGTATCATCACAAAAATTAATGCCTAATAGCTGGAACATCTCTCTATAAACCAAAATTTCTATTTAGGCTGTGCTTTTTTTTTCCAATCTTTCTTTGAGAACAGAATAATACATTAAAGATTTATGATATTCTCATCTTGCTTGATGAGAACTTCTATTCTGTACTATTTCTTAAAAGATTTGCTGAAAGTAATGTTTGCTTTGCATTAAAAAATGTGCCTCTTCAAATCAAAGCGTTATGGGTTTAATTTCCCAACTCATTGTGGAAAACAATAACTCAGCAAAAGCAAAATTGGAATTCATCCACACCATTGCCATCCCTTTAAAGGGCCTGTGATCTGGAGCTCATGCTTGGCTTTGTTATCCAGACACCAGTTGAGATGCCTGTGTTCCACTGCAGGGTTCCTGCATTCCAGCCTCTTGCTAATGTAGACACATGGGAAGCAGTAGTGATAGCCAAAGGACCTGAGTCCTGTCATTCATATGGGATCTGGGTTGAATTCTTAGCTCCTGATTTCAATTCCACCAGGCCAAGCTCTGGCTTTTGCATGCATTTACAGAAATAAAACAAACAAACAAACAAACAAAAATTGGAACTTTCACTTTCTCTCTGTCTGCTTCTCAAATAGTTAATGATTAAAAACATTTTTAAATAAAAAAAAATTCTATCATGCCATTTGAATAACTAGGCACAATGTGACTCAATATAACACTAATATGCATGCACAGAAGTTTGAACCAACAAAACTTACCATATACTCTGATACTTTCTATTCTAGTTCATTTATTTTGTAAATCCTTATCTGAATTAAGTAAATTGATTTTATCAGCTATTATTGAGCTGTGGTCTTATATAGAAAACGTTGCTTTAATCTAGATTTTTAAAAATGTGATGTGACTTTTACTTTACTAAGCATAGACATCAAATATATAATTCTCATATAAACCTACAGTGAATTTTTCTCAAAATTACATTTACAAAAATATCAGCAAGAAAACACTAGCTTTAGCTTGAAAAACATTTGTGTGACTAATAGTAGCAGAGGAATAACCTGTGAAACTAAGTTTGCTGAATTTACTTAGAATTAAAGCTGATTGACTTCTTACAGACCCATTAAGCCATAAAAACTCTGGCACTTCTCTATTAAAAATTATAAAGTAAAACAATTTAATTGTTTTTATTATGTTTAATTTAATTGACAGAAAAAAATCAGATATAATCCAGTCAGGAGGCAATGTATGTTTTTTTTATTTAAAAATTTATGGAGAATTACCAATTAGATATAATATAATGGCTGTGAAGACAAAGGCTAAAATAGTGTCATGGTGTCGCAAGACAGTAGGTCCTGTAAGTAGTTACCAATACAATAGCATCTGAGTCTGGGGATATAAAACAGAGATGTAGGAATCCTTAAAAGAGAAATAACCCAGTCCCAATAGGAAGACGATAGTAAGTTAGCTCTGATACAAGAGAGCCTTTATGCAAATACAAAATAAATAGATGCAGGTAATCAGTTATATACATATGCTTGTGACAGAATGGTGTAACAGAGACTAGCACGCTAGGAAGTAGAGTTACATCACAGTACATGTCTCTCCTTCGGAATCAAATAGACTTCCATTTTGAAGCATGTAAATACACCTGAACAGCATGATACTAAATTTTTCTACCTCTGCCTATACCTACCACATCCTGATACATTTAAATAGCAGAAAGTTCATCTTGTAGCTGTTTCTAAGAGACTAGTACTATTGTGAAAATTTAGGGAATGATATTGGAGCACGTGAAGGGAAACATGGGGGAAAAAACTATAAGAAAATAAAATTTGAAAAAGAAAAATATTTAGAAGTGCATGGAAGATAGAAACAAACAACATATAGAAGAAGAGCTCGATGAAGCTAAACCCCTCGCTTCCAGTACTGGGAAGTTGGCAAAGGAGCATTGCCTGTTATTGCATAAATAGGTATAAACTGGACAGCCAATGTACAGTGTTGTTTGGGAACAAGAAGAAACAGAAAGGAAACCTATAACAGGAACAAACCACTCTCTGCCCTAAGCCTCTCCCTCTCCCTCCACGCGAACTGCAGGTCGGGAAATGCAGTCTGCAGCGCCCCCACCACCTAGATCACAAAACAGAAGTGAGACAGTTGTTTAAACGCTGCCACACCCTCTAGCTCCTGGGCAGTGAGGCGTGCACACCTTCATTTTGTGTAGATTGTCCACCAGCAGGGTCAGGTTGGAGCCAGAAGGTCAAGACAGAACTCAGCATGAGAGCAAGAGCTAAGCAATCTCCTTTTTCAAACTTTGGGATTCATTTTTCTTTATTAGGAATGTGTTGCTTAATAAAACACAGCTCAGAGAATCAAAATTAATATAACTAATATGTTTATTGCTTTTTCTATAAGGGAATTTCCATAGACTATCATCCAGGTCTTTTACAGTAACAATTGGTGCATATTTGATTTGTTAGCATAAAAAGAAATAACATACTAAAAACATAATAATGTGTTTTATTCCATTATTTAAATCAAGATACAAGTCATGAATTGCTGGAAATAATCTATAAGACTTAATAAATAAATTACTTATACAGCCAACAATATATATTTCAACTGTCGGAAATGAAGAGTATAAGTGAGAAATGAATTGTGTAATTCTATATAGTCTATGTGTCATGTATATATTTACAAATGATAATACAGACTCATTTGCGCCTTAACATTTTCCACATAATAACATCCCATGCCACAACAGCAGGTAACTCCTGCCCATCTTTGTAATGTCTGCATTCAAATGTGTGGATACATAAAGCATATTTTAAAATACCATATTGATGAGCATTTACTTTGGCAATATAGAAATCCCTTCAATGAAAAATAAATGTTGAAACATTTTGTGTTTGATTTTATATATACAAAGTTTGGGGATACTTCAAAAAGCATGTACGAAGTGATGTAAGATGAATGCATTGTTTGGTACAAAAACTGTGTGTGGTACCAAGTGAGCTAAACAGTACTAAAATGGTTATTGCTACAAGTTTATGATGAGTGAATCAGTGTTTATTTGAAACAGCTCCTAGAGAACAAATGTGTACTTTCAGAGGTTTTTTTTTTCTTTCCAAAGCAGTTTAACGATCAACCAATCCGTGTTTGTTTCTCTTTGGCAGATGCCTCACCACGTGAAGCCCTTGCCGTATTACAGCTATGACCAGCCCGTGATCAGTTACTGCCAGGCTCACCAGCCGCTCCATGTCAACAAGGGCTATGAGACAGTATCTCCCGAGCAGGACGACAGCCCGAGCCTGGAGCTGGGTCGAGATCACAGCTTCATCGCCACCATTGCCAGGTCGGCAGCGCCCGCCATCTACCTGGAGAGAATAACAAACTAATGCGGAAGTCCACTCCTGCTTGGGGAACTCGCTGGCAGAAAGGGCGGGCTTTCTTCTCAAGGGAGGATGGGGTGTCCCAAATCGCACAGTTCTGCAAGCTCATTGTTTCTGTCAAAGCATTTATGACATAGAGAAAAGAAGAAACTGCTTCAAAGGGGCAGCGGATGCACTTGCTGCATAACCGGGAGAACTACAAAACACTCTTTGCTTTAAAATATAAGACAAAAATGCTCCCGGATGTAAATAGTAACAGAGTGTCAAGTTCTTATAAAAATAGATTTCACCCTAGCCATCGATAGGTTTGTATATTTGATTTTTCTACACTGCATGGTTCCTGGGCTGGAGAACCACATGGGGCAACTAAAGGGGTCGGGGGAGGAGGGAATTTGGGGAGACAATACAGTTTTCCTTGTTCGGTGTGTGCAACGCTCACAGACTTTTTTTCAATGTTTTTATTTTCATTTTTTTCTTTAAAATGCTCGTTCTTGTTTTGTTTGCTTCTACTTTTATTATCCTGGTCGAGTGATTCTATCTCCAGTTCTCCACATGGGCAATTAAAGCTTATGTTTCTGCCAAAAGAAAATTTGCTATTTTGCAGACCGAAAAAGAAAAGGGTCAGCTGTTATGTTTCACAAAACTACTGACATGAAAATGAAAATTCATAAGTCCTGGTGAATGCCTCTCCAAGATACATGTTGGACACGATATAAAGAGTCCGAAATTTTTTTTCTTCCCCCATTGGCAGCCCACACTGTGTGGAGTTATGAAAGACACAGCTGTGAAGATCTTCAGCTAAGAAGGATCAACAGTTATTCCCACGTGCACCAGCGGTCTATGAGAACAATGGCCAAGGGGTCAATGAATGAAACTGCCAAGCTCACAAATTTCTAAGCATAAGATAATGTGTAACATTGCTTTTTAAATTATCAATTAGCTTTTGTGTAGTTTTTATCAGTAATAAAAGAAAAAAATGGTGAAAATGAATATATTATTTTCTGGTTGCTACACCACAGCCCACCTAACGTTGAGTGCTTTATCTCTAAGTTGTGGTATGCTTCTGCTACGTATCAAGGCAATTCAATAATGATCAAGTGGTGTCTATCAAGTGCCTTCTGTGTACTCTGCAGTCAGGAAGGGAAGTCCCATGAGATGCAGAAAAGAAGTATGAGATGTAACTTACGGCCAACATATTTTGCAACACATTTTGCAATTATTTCAGAGAATTATATAATAATATAAGATAGTAAGTATACCTGGAAGTGTTAGAGTCTGTATGATTTTATAGACAAAAAGCTGTGCGACAATTGATTAGTAAGAAATGTCATGATCCTTAACAAAGACAATAACTATGCATGCATGAACTGAGGGAACTATATTCCAACAATCTCCTGGCTCACTCATGGACGTTTAGCTATCGGTTTGGTTTGTTTCATTTTATCTTAAAAATAAAATTGATTGATGAAATTGCTATCAGCCTTTATTAGGACAACTTTTACATTCAAAAGGATGCTAACGTGAGAACAGTGACTCTACTATTGTTTTAATCTAGGTGGGTAGCTGCCAACCATTTAATTACAGATTCTACAGAAACAGTAATAAAAGCCTTGTAAATATCTTTGTATCAAAGTAAATCAAGGATAATCAATGACACAAAAGCAAATGTATCATGAAAGCCTTGTAAATACCTTCATATCGAGGTAAACTAGCAAAAAGTACCAAGCATGATTTTCTTTGCTCAAAGCTATTCTGTTTTATTATCATGTTAAATTAGGCTTAAAGTTAAATTCCATCTTAACTGTAAAAAAGTAGATTGTGTCTCATTTAAGAAACAATCACTCAAAACATTTTTTTTTTTACACATTGGCCATCACTATGCAAATCTGGCAAATTTTTGTGCTGATAGAATCTTGACTATGTATGTTTTCTTAACTATGCAAGTTCAATGAATTGATTAAGAGTTTAATAATTAAAGATAGTTCTTTGACACTGTGATTTTTATTTTTTTTTCTTTTAGGATTCACTCAAGCAATTTTGAGTATGTCTTTCCAAATTTAGGGGAATAGCTTTCCAAATTGCAAAGGTTCTCTTTACGCTTCCCATCTTCTCCATGTTTCCAACACCACCCATGTACTTCATCTATTACACCATGCCTGCCAGAATTGATGTATCAGAGGCAACACTTGTAAAATCTAGATCGGGGACAGGATTTGGGGCTCACAGTTGAAATGCCTGCATCTTACGACTGAATGTCTAAGTTCAGTGCCTGGCTCTTTTTCTTGATTCCAGCTTTCTAATATGCAAGCCTGCTCAAATGGCTGAGTTCCCAAAGTTGATTTGATAGATTTACATTGAATTATTGGCTCCTGGCTTTGGCCAGCCCTAGCTCTGGCCATCATGGACATTTGAGGTATTGGATGGGGACTTATTCATGTACTAGTTCTCTTTCCTGCTCCCTGATTTTTCTGCCTTTCAAATAGTTTTTAAATTTTTCTTTTTTCAGAAAGACTAGTTTGTCTAGCTCCAGTTTATTTCTGTTTCTTGTAACCCAAAATGTCCTAAGTAGGTGAGATTCTGCATGCTATTTAAATTTCCATATTTGACCAACAGCAGTCTAACAGAATATAATGGGCTGAGGGTATTAGCAAAGCAGGAAGCATTGTGAAAATGCTGTACCTTCAGAACATGGAAACTTTCAAAAACTTATTTAAACAAGTCACTCACATAAAAGAAGTTAGTTGATAAATAAAACAAACAAACCCAGATTCACTTGAATAGGATTTGGAAAGTCATAAGTAAAAAATCCAGGCTTTCTATTGCATGGGGAGCAGTCTTTCATAGAGAACAGTAGACTTAGGGGGAAAAAAGACAACAGTACTTCTACAGAGAACTTAGGAAGCACACATTGGCTTACATATCCTACAAGCCCTCAAAGCAATCATCTTTATGTAGAAAACTTGATATAATCAAAGAGGATGTAAGGGGTTCCATTGGTCACCACTCAAGCTAAGTTGCTATCTAGTTCTCAAATGATAGGAGTTAAAGGGTCAGGCAGTCACTTTCATCTTAGTCTTGGTTCCTTCACATGTTTGCTATGCAATCTGATTGCCCAGAATGATCCTTCTGATTCAGCTAGAAGAATGGTTTTAATTCTGAATTGTAGCCCTACCTGACATAAAAAACCTTTCATTGTCTTTTAGAAGTAGGCAATTGCACTGATTCTACTTATTTTTCATGTTGATGTGTTAAAGAGCCCTCTTAAGGTTGAGCTTTATTTCGGGTATCTCTTCCTCTCTCCTTTCGAGAGGCACTCCATCTCCCAGCTTTTTCTCTGGAGGTGCTCTCCCCTGCCCTCTTTTGTCCCTGCTCATCTGGTCCCTTTGCTAACAGACTTTTCTGTCTGAAAAAAAAAAAAAGTTATGCTTTATTTCAAGACTCTCCTAATTGCTCATTTGATTTTGTACTATTATGTTTATTGTGACTCTGAAAGCTACGCAAGTGCTAATTGAAGAACGTTTACAGAGTAAGGGCATGAAAACATGCCTAGAAAGCATTATAAATGTGACACAGTACATATTGGAACAATTAATTGTCTAAATATTCTGATCAAGTTTTTCATATGCCTTCTTAGTACTCCTGATTCTGTTCTTCTTAGGAAATGTCTAAGATCAGAGGCTTTCTTGCTATGGGTATCTGTGTAACTGTGGTTTAAACACCTCCCTGCTGTAGTTATAATCCCAATATCTCAGGTGTGACTGTTTGCAAATAAAGAACATAAATAAGGACTATCTCTTGCAGAATACCAAACATCTACACTATTTTCTAAAATCAAAGCAAAGCTATAAATATCAAACAGTCTCAATTACAAAACCATGTGATTGGAAGGAAGGTTCTGGGAAAGTACTTCTAGCATCTGCTAATGACATTCATGTCATGCTTTTATCAGTTACTGAGATACAGATAAGGCAGTTGTCCACTGCCAAGTGACTGAAGTAATAAAAAGGGAAAAATTTTTTACTATCACAATTGGTAAAATTTTGCATTTTTACAAACAACAAATACATTTTAATTGCATTCAGAACTTTGTGTTGACAGTTTCTCATTAGAGAAACAGAGTCACTAAACATATGTAGACATTTGCAAAATAATATCAATTTTGCTGGCCAATCACAGCTGGAATTCAGTACTGGTATGACACATCTGGAAGAGAGCTATAAGCACAGCAACCAAAATAAAGTTGTACCATGTAGAGTACATTCCCTACTTCATAAGGAACTGAAAACAGAACTATCCCTTGCGTGAAGCTATCAAAGCAATACAGATAACCAAGTAGTGGAAGGAAGCAGAGAGAAGCGGATGCACTCCACTCCACAGGCCCTCAACAACCCAGAGGTGGTGGTGAATGATAGCGCCAGGAATCCGAGGTACAGGGTGCAAGACTCTCGGTCCCTATTCCGTCTTCCACCTCTGTGCCTCTCCGATTTCTAGAGCCACAGGGCTTTGCACAAAGGCTATTTGCCACACTCGTGTTACATAATCTTTACTTTCCTTTAACTAAGAAGGATATAACCCATGTTCTGGAACTGAGGTTTTCCGTCTTTGATATGAAGGTTTAATTTTGTTCCAAATAAGTACTCATCACTTTAAAATGGTCTGCCTCAGCACTGTTCCTATAATAAAATGCTCTAACTCCTTCCTACTTTGCTTCTTGGAGTTCAAAGTTCCTTCTGGGTTGATCCACATTTAGTCCCCTGGTTCCTTGAAGAAGGCACACTATCCTTCTCTTGCCATATTACCATGGACCTAGTATTCGTCTGCGAATCCTTACTATTTGTTCTCAAATCTGCTCTGTGTTCTTCAAACATCCAATGTACCCTCCTGGACCAGTCTTTGATTCCGCTTGTGGAATTTCATGGACGAAAGTGCCCTATTGTCTTGAGACAGCATTGTCTTGAGAACTAGACACTCTCTTTCCTTATCCACTAGCCTTTCTCTTTCCTTATTCGCTTACAGTACTCCAGGGGTGAACTGCTAATGTAACTTGATTGAGGTGTTCTTCGTCTAATGTTTGAGAGCAGTGATTCTTAAATGCTATCATGTATCACTCCACCAAAGACTTTTTAAGACAAATTTG